TGTCTCCCCAAAGTGCCTGTTGACTGGGAAGAAACATAACTTCCAACGTAAATATAGTATGTCTGTTAAAGATAGATTGTTAGAATGTGAGACAACAAACCTTCCCCTGCTTTAATGAGATTTAAAACTTGCTCGGCGTTATTGACTATCTCCTCACGGAGGCCTGCAACAAATATTCCTCGCTGAAGGCAAACCAATCAGTAAATTTATATACCTTCATGATTATAAAAAATAAATAATAAAGTATTCAAAATGCAGATGGTCAACCTCCAAACTCTCATGAACTTGCAACTTCTGATTCTCTACCACAAGAAGGTCATTAATTTCTTCATTATAGATTTCCATGTAAGAGACTCGAATGAGAAACTCACGATCAGGTACCTGAGAACCAATTTGTTCAAAATCAGGCATCAGCCTGGAAATAAAAAAATCGACGTCAACAACTCTCGTAGCCGTACCTACCATCTGAATTTTGCGGAATATATCTTCAACTGCACGAGGAATTATCCCCGGATCTCTTTGTGAGCCATTCATGGTGTAAGTCTTGCCACTACTGGTCTGACCATAAGCAAACGCGGTTCCTGCTCATGCAAAACTCAACAAGTAACTTCAACATCAGCAAAGCAACATGGTACCTTAAAGATAAATTCTTGTTTTAATTGACTTATAGCTTGCAATGCTCAAAGACAGAGCAAAACATACCATTGAATCCTTCCACTGCAGCATCAATAATATCCTTGGTGAGGAGGTCGTAGACACTGGCATTTGTGCTTCTTTCATCAAATATATGGTCTTCAATGAAGGGTAATGGGAAAAGAACGAGAATCAAATAAAGTAGGAGATACGAACGCCATGGGAATGAATTTCATTAAGGATAAGGTAGGTCAAGATGAAATACCAAAAGCGTAAGAATAGGCAGAGACAGGAGTGCCATGAACCTTGTGAAGAGAAATGCGATTCTCTTCAACCTTCCAGAAATTACCGAAGAAGGAATCCTCTGAGATCCGAGGCCGAACCCGGACTGCGACGCAGATCTTCTCCATTTTATGGCAGATCTATCCACGATCGAGGGCTACCTCAAGCCTAATGCTAATTGAATATTGAATATTTGCCACAAGGCGGGCTGGGCGTCCGGCGTCACTACTAGTGCTAGTAAAGCTCACTTCAGAATTTGAATTTTTTTCAGTTTACAGATTTGCCCTTGCTCTACATTGTTATGATTATAACGTCCACATGTTTGGGCCAAAATATTTGGGTCTTGAGAATTTCGGATCTGACATTGTGGGCTGGGCCTATTGAATTTTTCGCCAGCGAAAACAAATGAGAAATCACATGAAAAGGATGCTGTGGATGAAACGCCAAAGTGATTGACCCAAAAGTGGAGGATTATGCTTTATGAACCATTACCATACTGATTATCTAGAATTTTTGAGCCTCGGGGTCCGTTTAGCAATCGATCTAGAGTGCGGCAAGAACTAGAATAACCACGAGACATTTAATTTAATATTTTTTTAAAAAAAGAAAGAAACAAGCAATTTGAAGAATTACTGTCAGTTAAACAGTTTTTTTATATGTTTTTTATATATCGTGTTCTGAAGATAGAACAACAAGACTCCTAGTATATTTTCCCGTAGACCTGGTAGAACAATCGAAGAATATTATGGAACAATGAAGGTCACTATTTGGACCGACAACTTTTTACAAGAAAAATAAGGGGGGAATATAAAATGCCTTTCCATATACTTTCTTTTATTAAAAAAGAAAAGAAGCACTTTGTTATGTGTTTTAAAAAGATGTTCTTTGACTTCCGCGCAGTAAGAAATATAATTTTTTTTAGAATTTAAATCATTTGAAATTGCGATTGATGAATTTAGTTGAAGTGTTTTTTTTATAAATATTTTCACTCATTTTATAAAATATAAAATCTTCTCTCTTTTTTTTTAAAAAATGAAAAATTTACAAAAATTCACCAATTGGCAACTACAACTTTAAAAGATTTAAATTTTTATACTTTCTTTATAGAGGATTGATGATCTCTATCTTCATATTGGGTGTGATTCGAGAATATTAAAAAAATCAGCCTCCTGCCGGCCTCATTTTAAACCACGTAAAATCATTATAATCAATTAATATGAGATACAAAAGTTATAATAAATTATGTTATTTGTGATTATTTATAAACTACAAACCTCGTGTGCATGATCTTTTCTCCAGTTTGCTTGGTTTCTCTGAAGTGAAATTTAATTTGATCTCATTCGGGCCCAAAAAAAAAAATCACAAAAGTTGGAACAAAACCAAACAAATTAAATATTGTACGTCCAATAATAATATCTTTGTTACAAGTTTGCTTGGCTTAATTCTGATACCGTGATGTGTTTTTCTTTTCACTTGTACAAACGGACGGGCAAATTTGAAGAGAGCGAAAGAAACTAAGCTTCATCATTGAGCGTTAAAGTGTTGTCTTATCGATAAGAGAGAAGAAAGGACATGACACACAGCTTGGAAAGATAATATATACAAATAATCCTAGCAGTTAATTGCTGTTTAATAGTCCTTTAAATCTAGAGAAATCAAGTTTTCTCCTCAGGGTTATCCATTTAATCAAACGTATTAATTTAGGTCAAAGGATAGCACCTCTGTCTTTCTCCAAATTCTCATAGGAACTTGCTCAAAAAGAAAGCAAAGCAACACAGAAGCCAATTAATTGATTTAGTGCATCTAGTTGATTATGGTCAACGCATACAAGCAATTGGAAGGGGCACCAATCGAAGAATAACACTAATTATATGGATAGAGTTATAAGTCGAAGGAGTTTTTTTTTTTAATTGTTTTCGCAGTTGCTTTATTTGTTTTAGTTCGCTTTTTAAATTTTTAATTAGCGGTGAGAGTAGTACTTTGTAGATTTGATGGGGACTACAAATCTGAAATTGATATCCATTCCTTGCACTTGGATCAAAAAGGGTCCATTCATCAAAAAGGGGGAGCGACTTTGTGAGGTAAAATGTCCATAGCTCCAAAGCGAGCGCGCGTGCATGTTCATCTTTCTTTATTTCATCTATCATTGAACACAGCAGACACTGTGCATGGTTCATATTGATATTATTAGATATCAATTTACTACCCAAAAAAAAAGGATATTAATTAATTTACCTTCAAATAATTAATTCACTGATTGACGCGTGCATTTCACTACTTAATTCTTTCATGACGTTTCGGTTTCGGTCGAATTTTACGTATGTTAGCATCGTTCACGCTCATATGCACTCACAGCACTAGCTCAATATTGATGATCTGATCTATTTTCAATACAGATACAGATATGTAATTTTTATTTGTAAATAGCCACCGAACATTCCGTTTGCAACCGACAGCCATTTATTGGTACGTAAGCTTGTTTCCCAAGGTTAATTTTTTTCTTATACTATATATATTTTGCACGCGCGCGTAGCGAGCATACATGTGAATTATTATTAAAAAAAAGTATTCACATCAATTAAAAGCAGGGATTGCGATATATATTACAGGAAATGCTATTTACGCCAATGGGAATTATATTACGCGGGGCATAGAAAATAACTTGTGGATGATCAATGTTTTGTACGTACAATCTAACTACAATTCCAGTTTTCCCATTTTAAAATAACAAAACTTCTTATTTATATATAGGAACTTTATATTATGAAAGTCGAAAGACCTCAAAAGCAACTGTTAATATTTTAATTTCTTAAAATTTTTGTAAATGTAATATAAAATCTATAAGAAGCCATACTATTAAATAACTATGAACAGCGTTTCTCATGTTAAATTCAATGTGAAGCATGGGTCAACTAGATAGTTTTCTATATAAACAAAATTGTTGTGACTCGAAAAGGGTACGTAATTTGCATTTTCCACGCGTAGTATTACCTGCAATAGATGTTGAGATAGCAAGGATTCAAATGCTCTGAATTAAGAATTTGCGAAGTTTTTATTAAAGGAAAGGACTGTGATCTATTTAATCCCAGGTAACAGACTAGCCAAATTCATACGTGATATTTGAAACTCAGATCTGGTTTGCTGCTGGTTCTCTTACCCCAGACTTCAAATTTTATCATGTCTCCAAAATTTATTCTAATACTCGTATCATTATTTTGTGACCTAATATATAGGAGCAGCTAATACTGTTTAGCTATATCATTTGGAATTTTTTTTTTGCATTTAAAATGACATATATCATTCAATTTTTTTACAGATTCAAATATGACACGCTGCTAAAGTAGTGAATTATACATATGTCATATATCTAATTAAAATGTTAAAAAAATGAACAATAAGATATAAAACTACACGTGTTGATCCTTTGTGAGATATTACAGCAATTTGTGGCCATACGTTTCTTTGTGCACTTAACTCATTTCGCTGTCATGTGCTTTCTTTCTTAGTCCTACTTTAATTTGGTATTTTGCTTTTTGATTCATCATCACCAGGTACTGGGGCAAGAGAGAGTGGTGGAGCAACACGGGGACGCTAAGCAAATAATCTGGTCATGATGCCACCTAACTGTCACTATTTTCCAACCCTTCCCAAGTTATTGTATTTGCTTTACCTCGATCATATATATAATTACAAAGGGCAAAGAAAAAGGTAGGGTTAGCTAGCTATAAAGAGAGACAGGGAAGGCATGGCCCCGGAAATATCTCTCCCCACCGAGGTCTTTGGTCAAGTCCAACAAATTAGATAATCAAATAAAAATAAAAGATTCTGTCGAGCAAGACATTAATTATGAGGAGGGGGACAAGAAGACGACGATATAGAATTGCTACAAGGTTTGGCTTGGCCCACGCAAGCGACGTACGTATATGTTTACATAAGAAATGTGAACCCTATGATCCCAACAATATTCCCTCGAAGATGCCCATCCAGCCTCAATTGTTTTACCAGCTGGCTATCTATCTCTTCTTCTTCTCACTTATCGTTATCAAAACAATACCATCTTTTACCGTTGCACATTAAAGCAGCTCAAAAATAAAAGTTGATAACATTATCAAAAAGCAAGACCTCTCACATCTTTACATTCTACTTCCAACGACGTGAGGCTTCTCCAAACCACCCCTTTCGTTTCTCTTTCTCCTAGCTACTTACGACACAAAACAAAAGAAACAGCTAGCTAAACTGCCTTACATTTTCCTTATAGATCACCTCCATGCACCAACCATGGTTTCTTGTTCGTGCACGTGAGAATGAGTTTTATTGTATATATAATGGGCGATCTCTACATATATAGTCTTTCTTTTGTTCCTCATTTTTGTTTAAGGGCTTAGAGTGGTGCCTAAAGCCCCATAGAGATGCGACAGCCGGGTCGTGAGGATTTCGGATTCGGATCTTAGTTGGGCGTTCTCTAGGGAAACTATGAGATGCTGGTGAAGGGTGAAGCCTAGCTGGTTTTTGAGTTGTTGGTTTTCAAATTTTAGGCGGTTCACTTGGTTCGTGAGGTTCTCTAGATGCCTCTTCTTTCTCCAGCGGGACCGCCGGGCTGACTCCCGGTTCGACTGCATGCGCCTGCGCTTTCTCTCGTCCAACGAGTAAACCGCTCGACTCGAACTTTGCGAACCGGAGCTTGGACTGGCCGGATCCTTGGCTTGAACGAGGGACAATAACTCCTGCACCTCACTTGGCGTGAGCATGGTTTCGGGAAGTGGGCATGATGGGAACTGGAGGGAATGGACGACGTCGTCGTGGAAGAACATGGCTGGAGCAGAAAAGAATGAAAAAACCGGTGCTGAAAGAGTGAACCGGAGAGAGGAAAGGAGGGGAAAAGGGAAGAACTGCAGCCAGAGGGACGGCTATTTAAGGAGAAGATGAGGGACATGTAGGCCCCCCGAGAGCAAAAGATATTGGAAATAAGGCTGTATTCATCCAAACAAAATCAAAAGTAGAATACGTGTAATAACTTTAGGTTTTTGAAACCAAAGCTTTTAAATAAAAATAAACACAGACTAGCTTATAAAATCATAATATCATAGTATTAGTATCATCAACAAGTCATGTTAGTGCAATTTAATTTTGGCTTTATATAAATGCACCTACTAGCTTTTAAAGCTATATTTTCAAGGTGATATAAATAATAGCACACAAAAAACGTAACTAAATTAAGAAGGAGTGGAGTGAAATTCTTAAAATAAAAGACATATTTTTGTCAAGTCTTTGAAAAAAAAGCGGGTGAGATTAGCTTTTTGCTTTTTTTCGTATGGTATGAGAATGGGATCGTTGGGAAGACATTAGGTTTAACTTAATGACGAAGGATCAAGCATAATTATATGATCACCAATTCGATCCAGAGAGCTACCAGAATAATGTACGCCGAAGTCATTTTGGTTACGCACACAACACAACACAGTGAAAAAGGCAACGACCAGTTACCAACGTCCACCAATCTACATGAAAGTTAAACCCCAAAAGCTGCTTACTAACTTTTCAGCTTTACGGAAGCCCAATTAAAAATTAATAACAATTTTTACCCGACACATAACCAAGAGATCAGTGCAACTTTTCATCTTGAACTGAATAGATTCCAAATGTCTTAAATTTTTATTGCCAGTTTTACATCAAAATATATGTTTTTTCCCACACATCTTTGCATTTATTTCGTATTGGAGACAATAATCTTATTTAAGGCATTATCAGGTATTAAACGTGGACAGTTTTTTTAGTGAGAAATTATTCTAAATATATGTTATTACTAGAGGATTCTTACACATCCAAGCATGGTGCAGAATGATATGATAAAAGAATGGGGTGCGTAATGGAAAGGAATATTCCGGAGGGCGTTTTCTTAGTTGAGCATCTCCGGGCAGTTGCTTCGCCTGGACCTACTTAATTATTAAGTAATAGTATATATTAAAGGAACTGTGAGTGGAGGATAACATGGCAACAGTTATTATCTCCTTAATTAATTTAATGAATCAAACAAAATTCAGAAACCGCGTCCTATAGTGAGTTAAAGTAGGCTGCACATGCAACAAGTAAAATTTATCAAAAAAAAGAAGAATATGTAGTACCCTTTAGATTCCTCTGCGTTCTCAACAGTCGCGTTATGATTTCCCTGTTTAGCTCTGCTTTTATCTTTCAACGCTCTTGATTTATAGACGGCCATCCATTCCATTAATTACCTTTTACAGAAATTTCGTGGATAAGTTAGGATAATGAACTTAAAAGGAGGGTATAATTATTATCATAAGATATCATTAATTATAAACGAACTGCTTTTGGATGAGAGTTCAATTCAAAGTAGCCTACGTTAGGGGGAGCGAACTATTGCAATAGAATTGGTTTGTTTCGGGGAAAACCAGAGGACCAAAAGCCTCTAGTGGGTTTGAAAGTGGGCTTCTTTTAGCCAACCAGTCAATCGGCGACTCTATTTCCGTCTAAAAGGATGAAGTTACGTTATAGTTGTGACGTTTACATTGTAGCTAAAAAATATAAGTCATTTCTCCACGCGTTAAGGGATATTCTTATAGACAGCAGATGAATGCGAAGGATGGTCTTGCGTATTAATACTACAAAAAGAACGTTCCTCCAATGAACTATGGGCACGATCATTAAAGATCACCAAGTGTTTTTTTAAGCGTTTAGACGCCATACCCTTGTTCATTTTGGTTTTCTTTTTAGACGTCATACCTGTGCTTGTTTGTATGTTCAATTAGGACAGCAGTCCAAATTAAGTTTGATGGTAGCAAACTTAGAACAGAGGGTCCACCGCAGAAAGAAATGAACTTCATAGTGCAGATGCTAGAAAGCAGATATCCCACACGGGGAGGACGCCCAAATCATCATCCCGGCGCAAAAATAGCAACACCATGAGCCTTGTCTTTTAAAACAACATTAATACCTACAAACCTCTTGCGTATTACTCAACGTATACAAGAAAGATGCAGCTCAGGAAAAGAATTACATGAATTTGATTATAAATACAAGATTGTTTGATCAAAGAAAAATGATTATTTAAAGCACTATCAAGATTAATCAAAATAAGAAAATCACGTGAGCAAAGCACCTTAATGCTGATAAATGATCCCCGGATGGATCTTCATGTGCTACCAATGACTAATTGAACAGTGCCTTATTTAAGTCAGATAATTAAACAGCACTATGAATTCCTTTGTGTGCAGCAGAACCCAATCCATGGGTGTTAGTAATCTGCGACTAATTTCTTTCGTTTAACCTCCAGGTGGAAGAACTAGAGGGTGGAGTGAGAACAAATAAAAAAAATGAACCTGCCTAGTTGAGAGCCTAGAAATAGGTAGTGTCTCAGTAATCCAACAAATAATACAACGTCTATATCACATTACCTACAACTAAGATTCAACAAATAGCCTCAAGATGCCCAAACCAACACCAAATATGCACACGTTGGTGCCTGCACATGGAACACGCAGTTATAGAAAATTGTCAGAAGGGGGGGACAAATTCCAAAATATGACGCGGAAATTGTGGTTTTAATCTCCCTTGTTTTTTCCATAGCAGGCACAAATTCATCAGACATTCACATGTTCACCGGAGGAGCTCCCTGAATATGACAATCAAATACTTATTATCAGTACTTTCATAATAGGGGGCCCCGCTTCCCATGACACCATTGATCAGTTTTCCCTAGTCATGCAAACTGATAACAGTTTCCTCTCATGATTTCATTTGCCAACAAATAATCATTTCAAAAATCTCACCTTGAACAGAAGATCATATGCTATATGCTCCCAGGGCAAGGATACGGACATTAAGCTGCATTTCAAAGGTATCAATTCATAATCGAAATCCGAGCTAGAGGCAGAGGCAGCTGCATAAGCATGCTTTGCTGCCACAGATGCAACCGATGCTGCTCTCCGAACAATTGAGCCAATTCCAAACCCTTTCTTTGATACTACTGGAGAAAAAGGGCCTGATTCCTCCTGACTTTGATCTGTCATTGCAGCAGCAGATTTCATTAATCCAACCATCTCATATTTTTTTACATAATGACATTAACAACAAATTTTCATGCCAGGTGTCACCAGTAAGGAGCTTCATAATACAATAGAGGACTAGACAGGATTTTATATTGCCTCTTACGGATTTGATGCATCTTCTAAGTATTCAAGTCTACATATAAAAATTTAGGACCTTGGCATCTTGACAGAATGATATTTCAAATTGCAATCACATAATGTAAAGCAGACAACAAAAGAAAAATATGTTATGACAACTAAATGTCAAATATCTTTTTCTCTGCTCATAAGGTAGAAACATTAGTGCCTAGAGTTCCATGATGAGATTTCTAAAATCGTAGTAACCAACAAATTGCCTACCTGTAACACCAGAAACAGCCACTTCAACTTCCCCTCGGCCTCCAGGACCTTTCATGTAAATTCTGTCTGTTTTGCCAGGAGAATGACCCCCTGATAGAAAGCTACCAAATCGAGACTTGCCAGCTGTACTTTAAGGGGAATTGTGTGAGGCAACTGATATACTGGTATGTGGCACCCATTGGCAATGTAAAATACGATAAACTCACAATTGCACATTACACGCATAACATCTTTTAATTTTTAACATGGCAACAAAGGATGTCATTTATGGATGAGAGTCTCACTTGATGAAGCAGAATATAAAGGTGATAAAACTGTCCCTGTAAGTGAATCTAAGTCAACTATACAATGCAACACTTCAGGAAATACAGTCAGATACAAATATCTCTCATTCAACAGCAACATCACAAGTTCAACACATTTAAACAGTGCTTCACTCAAAGTGACAACAGTAAAAATGATGACACAAGAAAACACAAGAAGCAGCACTGCTAGCTATCAAAAGGATATCTCTCACTTAGAGTCTTTAACAAAATTCTTCACGCTCACACCCCCTTCAGCCAAAAGACTGCTCACTCTACACACCTTTTTCTCTCATCCAGACTACCAGCCTCACCTGCACTCTCAAGTTAGTTATTGGCTTAAATTTACCATTCCATCCCTCCCAGCTATCTCATCGCCTTTGGTCCCTATAGAATATTCCTTAATTTCAGGCTCACCTTCCTCTCCCTTCCTTTTTTGATTGACAGCAGAGGCGTTAATAAACCCATCAGAAGGTCACTGAAGATTAATCTACAATATCAAACTGCTTTAGGCACGATTGTGTCAGAAACTATCAGATGGATAAAAAATCATTACAGGACCCTGCAGAGGATTTATGTGAAGATAAATATAAAGTCCGAATCACAGTTCTGTGAAAAGTTCAAATTTCTCAGATTCCCAAGCCACAGCAAATCAGATCAGTGTGTCACATGCATGGATTTTTGTAAATCACCCCGGAGATTCAAAATTTCAGGTATAGTTAAGTGTCTGCCCCTTCATTCACGCTATAGACAACATTACAAAAATGAATGCTTGATTATGAAAGAAATTAATAGGTCACCAAAGGAAAAAAATTACCATCATATGCGTCTCGAACCATCTGATAGCTGACAAACCCTGAGAAAAGGGTAAGCTGCAAATCCCAACTACCAGCAAGTCAGCATGTCTACAAATTGATTACATAAGTAATTCTTGCTATTGTGCACTTTTTCAATTGAATCAGCGTGTCTACTTTTTTATTTGATATATTAAGAGAAAAACTACAAAGTGAAACCAATATTAGTTAGAACTACTATAGACTTCCATCTTCTAAATTCCTATTTTCTTATTGCTCCAGGATTTAGTTGTTTATACTGTCACAATAAGTCCTCCCATCAGTTTATCTGTAAATACCTAAACTTTCATCTTCAAAAGTTCTTCTTGCCAGCTAGT